GTTAAAGGAACCTGTCACCCAATCCTGGGTTGAAGAAAACAAGAAACATATTGAAGACTATGGCCCAGTAGATAGATAGAAAGAACCTGAATCCAATTCCTCCTAAGTCGCCTCTCTTCTCTGTTTTTCTCTTTCTCGGGCCGTCTCCCTTTCTGCCTCCACCTTGGCGGAATCAAGTACCGAAGGTGCTTTGGGAGGTCTGGTGGTTTCTGGAAAGCAAGGAGTGACTGTGACGTGGTTAGGGAGTAGTTAGAAAGCATGACCAGTGTATTCTGTATTCAATCGGACTGCGTATGATCTGCCACCAAACCCTGGCAACTCAACTGACATTGTAAGGCACACAGAATGTCGTTTGGGGATTCATTGTGTCAATTAAACTGAGTATGGCAAACATCAATATGCGCCCACAAAGAAAAGGAGTGGTGGCAAAGGGACAAAAACCAAGAAAGTGAAGCCTTGAAAAAGCCTTGCTGCTGCTGGACTCCTGAATCGCACACACCAATGCTCAATATCTCAACCACAACTACAAATAGCAGCCGCAGCAGCAGAACCCAACAAAGCCTCATCGAGCCTTCCTTATTGGGCACTTGTCTTCTACCAACAAACACTGCATCAAAGAAGGCCTGGACTGAGAACCGGCAGACCCCAAGGCACAGCTTTGACAAAGCTCATGGGGGCTTCTACTGATTACCTCCTCTGCTGCTCAGCTGTGTCGACCACCAAAGCACCAAAGGTTGGGGGAGATCATTCCTTCACCTGGACTTCTTGAACAATTGGATAGTGCTATTGTCACATCCACACCTGAAACTCAGATTCATTGTGCCATCAGAAGCGGCACAACCCAACAAGTCATTATAAATTATAAGGAAGCTGGTGTTCTTCTTGTGAACCACCTCATCCCTGTCCTGGGACTCCCTGCCTTCTCTCTGGCCTTAAGCTTGGCCCGCTTGGCGGCCTTCTCGCGTACCAAGTCCTGCAACGAAGCTAGTGGGTGGTTCTACTGTGGCGGAAGGCTATTTGGAGTGCTCAACTGCCAGGGCTTGTCTCAGGCCAGAGTGAAGTTCCTTGGTGGTGTGTTTGGAAACATACAGTAGTTTGTCTGTTGCTGAGAGGTTTAGTTCTCTGAAAATGCATGTGAGCCACACACTGGCTACTAGCTTGAACAAGCCAAACACACTTGGGGCCCTGAGCTCTCCAGGGCAAATGTGAGTTTGGACCGGATGGGATAGAAAGTTCTTCAATCTTGATCAACGACTGGGTGTTGCCTTGATCAAGTCCAAGTGCGACAAAAGATTTGCAATCGGGCATTTCGCCATTCCTGGTGATGTTTGGCCCTCATGGAAAACCTCAACTTCTTGACTTGGCAAGTCCTCAACTCTTGGCTTCGTGAATGGAGGAAGATCCTTTTCCCACCCAGAAATCCTCATCCTCTTCTTCCTCCTCATCTTCATCCTCCTCATCATCATCCTCATCGCTTGAGGTTGAGGATGCCTTAGCTCATCAGAGACGGCATCTGTTCTCAGAGGCGCGGCTTTGCAAGGCAAATCCATCGCCGAATTCAGCGCTTGATTCAGTCAGTAAGTTTGGAGCAATTAAAGGACAATAAATTGTCCTCTGAAGATGTCTGAGAACAGTGGATATACCCAGACCCCCCCAAGACGTTGAGCATCAATTTTTTCTGCTCGGCCTCCGAGGCCGGAAGCGAGAATCAGAATGTGGATTTGCCTCCAAGTTTACGAGGATCCCGAAACCTTCCCAAGCACACAGGAAAACCCAAGTCACCAAAACCATTAGAGCCTTGTGTCCTGAGACCAGGAAATGATCTGATGTTCCTTCGTGTTCGCCTTTGGCCGCCTCCGCGCCGAACCTCCTTTGGCCGAGAAGCGGAAGAATCACTGGAGCTTCTGGACTGCAAGGAGTGGGCGTGGAGTCGTTGGAGACATTGGGAGACAAGCCATCGAGGACTTCTGGTGACCGACAATGACCCATGGACAGGGGAAACTTCCCCAAAAAGAAAGGTCCGGGTCACTTCAGCAAACCCTTTTCGGAGGTCATGTTCTATTCCTCTAACAATAGTTGCAAAGTCGGTGACATTCAACAGGAATCACAGGTGTCAGACAGGTGTCGTACAACCACCCAGATCTTGATAGAGAATATGTGTTTCAACCTGTACTGCTTTCATGTTTGCCCAAGATTGGAAGTGCATTGTCACTGGTACTGTATCATCTCCTTAGTTGCGGCTACCAGCGCAACTGAGAAATCTCCCAGGCTTGCGGCAAATGGATCCGCCTGCTGCCGCGGTGGGTAGCCTTTGGCAAGGAGACGCTTCATCACGAGAATTCTCTCTGAAATTGGAGGTGCAGGCTCGTGAAATGAATTTACAAAGGGTTGGTAGGGTTTGGCGTTGTCCATCCATCTCACCCAAGGGAACCAAGGTGCATCTTTTCGGACTGCGTCCGACCTCCTGCGAGTGAAAGAAAACAATTGGACCGAGCAAGGACTTCGTTGCAGAGACCTCTCCCTCTGTCAACAAAGCCACAGACTACAGTATCTACTGAATCTACTGCAGCATGTGAGTATCATCTTGCTGCAAGGCTGACACCTATTTTTCTTGAATTGCACGAAGAACCACCCTGAATTGTTTCTCTTCCCAGAGAATACAAAAGGGCATTCAGGCATTCTCACCATGTGCTTTTCATCATTCCAGGACCCAATGCATCCAACAAGACAGACACCGCGCCTGGCCACCAGGGATAGAAGCCAGGGAAACCTGCCAATCCGAACGTCCTGTAGAGCCGTAACCTTTGCAAATCGGCCTAAGTGACTTTACGGCACAAATCCTGCAGATCAGCTGTCACAACGCTCCTCACATGAACTTGACCATGCACCCGGCTCCACCGACTACTTCGTTTACAGGGACTCCACTTCGCCCGACGGGACCCTGGATACCACGCCTGGGTACCCTGGATATCCATAGCCTGACAATGGACCGCTTGGTCACACTCGATGTACAACGAAGTAGGAGGACTACCATGGAGGAGACCCTTTTCATGAGAGGACGACACAAGAGTCATCACCCAGTAGCCAACCACCCAGACTTCCCTGGTCCTTCCTTTGTCTTCAATCCACCACATAAATGTGGGTCCTGATATGCTTACCTAGATTCATTTGCGCCCGGATCAGGGTTTTCTTCCACTCTGATCCACCCAGCAGGGCTACTGAAGCAGCCAAGACTGAGCGCAGCACCTGAGTATCCTGGCGGAGGACTCGGAGATCAGAGGCCCTTTACGGATCTAGACAGGTCTTGGTCTTCTCAAAGCGTTCTCCATATTCAGATCACACTGATCACACTCCACAAGTTCACCTTGAGCCTAATGTGTTGCCTGGGAGCATCGACATGAGTTTTGGGGATTCTGAGGTCACTGGATTTTGCACTTGCCAACAGCTGCCCGCACTCTGTCCCCGGCATTCCCACACCTGGAACTGACCTGGGCAGCATGGCGTGAACCATCCCAGCAGCCAGTTCTAAAGATCCAAGATCGCTTTAACCAACGTCTATCAAACTGCAGGCGCGATGTCACCCATCGCCGGGAACAGTAAAGCTGGCACAATGAGATGTGGAGGTCAAGAAATCCCGAGAATGTCCAACGAGATGAGTTTTCAAGGTAGGACTGTGCGAGCCACTCTCTCAAAACTTTGCGAGTTCCCAAACTAGCTTCGAGTCTCAAAAGAGGCAAAACAACAATCGCTACTAGGAGCAGGGATGCTACTAGGGGCTCCTGGCCTTACTACTAGGAACAAGAAGCTACTAGGGGCTCCTGGCATCGCTACTAGGAGCAACCTCGTCTTTCAGTGTGAACTTTGAGCCCCGCACGGATCAGGCCTCGCTTGAAGACACCGGCGGCAACTCCGATTCCTGGCAAACAGGCCCAGGAAGTCGATTCCGGTCGATTCCGATCGAAACGAAGTGGTGTATTCAGCGTCCCGACATCCCTTTCTGGAGACACGAATTGGGATCCAAACATCCAGACACGACTTGAGGACGCAGTTCGGAGGCAAAATGGTGCTCTCCTGTTGAGTGGCTCTTTCGAACGGCTAGAGTTCTTCAGTTTGGCAGGGATTGCTGCGTCCCACAAAGTGGGAAGTTGCCCCCGTGCAAGAATCACCGCTCACTTGAGAAGAATGTGTGTACATCCTTGAAGAATGTTGCATCAAGTCATTCAGAAACGAAGGCTCAATCACACTTTGCATAGGATGAGTGGAGCGCGGTAAATCAGTAGAGACTGAATGTCAGGATGAGATGAAATAGGCCTCCTTGCAGCCCCATCCCTGTGTAGTTCTGACATGGTGAACGAAGAAGAATCATGGGCTCCAAAAGAAGATGATCCTTCTATTGAAAGAGGTTTCTCCTTTCATCCAAAATACATATGATCTGCCCCTCAGTCTTCTAAACCCGAAAGCTTCTGACATTGGAATGTGGACAGTCATATCATGTCATATCTGCTCCAGCCAACCATAGCTTCCCAAAAGATCCAGCAAGTCCCGCCCCCCCTGGAGTGCTCACCAGGCCTTGCAAAGACAAGGTCTCCACAGCTGGGGCAGATCCAGTCCCCTGACATCATCGCCTCCAAACTTCGTTCGATCCAAAACGAGTTGGAACCGACCAAGGTGGGCAAAACACCGCACCGACCAAGGTGTCTTGCGGCCAAACCACCGCCCACCGCAGAAAAACCACGACGAGAAGCACAGAGCGACGAAAAGCCCCAGTTTTCCAACTCAGCTCTCTCCAGTCACAAAGCGGCCGGCTCTCACCTGGCCGAGCCAAAGCGATGCAGCGTCCCGATGCTCGAGTTTGGGCTTGCAGGGAACGGTCCCTACATGGAGAGCTAAAGGAGCACACGAGTTTGCACAGCACCCACGCATTTTGTCTTGCCATATCCGGTCGTTTCCATGGGATTCCATGGGATGAAAATTGTGTGAAAATCTGCAGGTGAAGCCTGTCATGTCTTCTTGATCACCGCGAGAATGGCTTCGGAGGGCACGTTCACCTTTCCAATGGCCTGCATCTTTTTCTTGCCCGCTGCTTGCTTTGCAAGGAGCTTCTTCTTACGGGTAATATCACCACCATAGCACTTGGCCAAAACATCTTTCCGCACTGCCTTAATGAGTTTGGATGAGATGATGTGTGTACCAATACGCGCTTGGATGATGACTTTGATCTGCTGTGAAGGAATCTCATTCTGCAAAATGCCGGTAATCTTCTTGGCAAATTGCAAGGCCCTCGAGCGATGAACGATCTGTGCTAAAGGGTTGGCGGTGGTTTGGTTGATGTCTACCTCCAGCTTTACCAAATCGTTACTTCGGTAGTCCAGGATGCGATAGTCCATGGATGCATAACCACGAGAACGGCTTTTCAGCTCAGCAAAGAAGTCGCGGATGATCTCAGCCATCGGAACCTCATACTCCAGCAGTGCACGTCCCTGAGTCAAAAAATTCGTGGTCCTGTAGACGCCTAGCAGCACTGGCATTTCAGGGCACAACAGTTTGATACTTCTCGAATCTTCTCGAATGCTTTGAGGAGAAAAAACACCAAAGAAAACCGAGTGAACCTTTTGACCCGCCACCTCTACGCTGGGTCGCCAGCTCCATACAGGGGCCCATGTGTTCTTCTGGCACAATCATCTCCAGCAAGCAATAGGGTTCCCGAATTTCCGCGACCTTGTGGGGAGGAGGAAGCATGTTGGCAAATTGAATGGTGGTCTCTGTGCCGTCACTCATCTGAACCTGGTACTCCACCGAAGGAGCAGTGACCACCACATCCAAATCGTACTCTCTCTCCAAACGGTCTTTGATCACCTCCATGTGCAAAACTCCTAAGAATCCACAGCGAAAGCCGAGCCCCAGAGCGACGGAGTTTTCCGGCTCGTAAAAGAGGGCAGCATCATTCAAGGAAAGCCGCTCGAAGGCTGTCTTCATGTTCTCGAAGTCTCCCGACCTGGGATTCCGAGAAAAAGCGCTCTTAGGTTGGAGGCCATCGCTAGTAGGTTGGAGGCCATCGCTCTTAGGTTGGAGGCCAGTAGGTTGGAGGCCATCGCTAGTTAGGTTGGAGGCCGTCGCTAGAGGTTGGAGGCCAT